AAAGATGCTAATTGACCTTACTTTCCTGTTTGAAGAACAGTCAATGGCAAAACCACTGCCTAGTGATTTAAAGACAAGGACTCTAGGCTTAGTTAAATCTCAAAAGGTCTCATAGCTGCAGGTAGGTGGATTGCCGAATTTTTAGCTGCCAGGCCAGAAACTACCTAGTAATATGTTATCAGTTGATCTCAGTAAAAGGGGGAGGGGAGGGTTCAATAAATCATTTTAAGGTTAGCCAATAGTTGATCTATTCTTCTTCTCTTTTATCAGCCTCATTGTAACTAGCCTATCGCAAGCCATTTGCTTTTTTTTTTTTTTTCAGAATTAGAATGGTCTCCCTATATGCATATAGAATAACTACTCAGAATAAATCGTTTCGATTTGAGTTTTGATGTTTTTGACACTGGTAATACAGTTTGTGAAAATTCATTGACTTGTTTATATATATGTTATACTTCAATAAGCTTAAAAAAAAAAAAAAAGGTTTGCTGCTGCCTGGATAATCAGTAAAGGCTGAAGAAAATGATTTATTCTTTCCTGGCCTCTCCCCTTAGCTCTTCACACCTGCACTGTCAAAACTTAACTCTCCCTTCCAATCTGTGAGGACTGGAAGCCAGTCACTCTCCCCAGCATACAGATTAAACTACATTTGCTACAGACAGGAGCCAGGTGTAAGGAATTGTGAAACCAAGCTTCTCTTTGCCTTCCTGCCAGTTGTTATTCACTAGTTACCCTTCTCCTGCAGGGAGCTCAAGTGTCCCTCCTGCATTCTCTGAGCAAAGCCTCTTACTCAGTAATAAATGCTCCTCCAGGGAACACTTAAAGCGTCAAACTTCTGAATGAAAAGGATGACCCTCCAACAGTTAGCACTCGAACTGTAGGTAGTGGATGGGCAAGGAATCCTCTGGGCCTTCCAGACACCCCTGGAGGTAAACACCGTGAGACTGGAGTACAGGCTCAGCAGCCTGTCTTGGGGTGGGGGTGCATGGGGTGTTCAAATCCTGGCTCTGCCTTGGGAAGTTTGTATCCTCTGTGCCTCAGTTTCCGCATCACTAAAAAAGGGATAATGGTGCTTACCTCATAGAGTTGTATGATTAAAATGAGTTAACACATGTAAAACATTTAGGAAAGTGATTGTTATAAGGTAGGAGCTTAATAAATGTCAACAGCCAGCTTGGTCTTGTCCAAGGTATGCTGTTCCCAATGAAGTGATATGGGATATAAAATCAAAAGAGGTGTCTGACCTAAAAAAATGGCTGAACTAACACTAAAGGCTCATAAGCTTTCACAACAGAGTCAAACCTTGTTGCTTAGGAACCAATTCTATTAAGGAAATGCTTTCTTTGTGGTCTCAGGCCTGTAACCAGACTTTATCAAAATTCTTTGTGTTAGGTCTCCTGCTCTAAAAAAAGTCTAACATTCAACATCTTGTTCTCAAAAGTACCCATGATTGGTCTCGGGGAAATCTAGCTCAATTGGCGTAACAGTTTATAAAGACAATGTTCTACGTTCTACCTTGGTGAGTAGTGTCTGGGGTCTTAAAAGCCTGTGAGTGGCCATCTAAGATACTCCACTGGTCTCATCCCTTC